ATGGCTTGGCGATTTCAAATTAATAATCAGAAATTATCAGGCTTCCTGAGGATGTTTTCTTTCACCATGCGTCAGTGGTATCTAAATAATCATAGAAAGTACATGTACCTCGGAAAAAGTCACAATGGTACTTGCAAAGTTTCAAACCCAACATCAAAAGCAGGCGTCTTAACCTCCGGGCCACCACTACTTTTTCAGTATTTTAAGCAAATAAAGTTTTATTATGTTGTATTATATTATCTTTGGTGCTTGTTATTACAGGAACCTCCTAGAATTGCTTATTTGTGACATTATGTTTGCATTTGTACACCTCAGTTAATTTGAGAGACCCAAGCTTCGACCGGAGTAATGCCACGGCCCAACAGATAATTGGCGTGAAATTACCACAGAGTTGTATTTCGCCATGTCCATCCTTCCCCAATCCCTGTTTCTCCAAAACCCTAAACTAAAAGTCATGCAAAGCACTTGTAATTCTTCTGGTGTTGCAGGTGTCCATTGGCAGTACCGATAGCTTACCATCAGGTAATGCGCCTGCTCGTTTGCCGATACATCATATAAATGTATATATAGTATTTTTATGTCTGGCACAGAAGCCATACACAACTTTAATATAAATGAAATAAGACATGTAAATCGATACTTCTATAGAATTTATAGTAATATAATAAAACCGTAGAGTTTGTTTTTTATTTTAACACGCTAATCTCCCAAACTACTGGTTGAAATTGAATGATTCTTTTAAACATCACCCTAAGACCAATAGGAGCCGAAGAGTGGGCGAAACCGTGTGGCATTAACTTATGTTAAAATAAAAGAAAATAGAAAAGCTTAATTACCCGCTACCTCTATGGCCACAACAGTAAGATTCACCCATTTGAATCGATACGTTCCCCAGCTCTTATTAGAAGGAGATTCGAGAATGCAAACCCATTACGCTAGGTACCTACCTACCTATATTGTTGGAATGGTACCGAAGCTCACGGTACTAATATGACTGTGAAATGACTTTGAGAGAGCAATTTTATACTTAAAAGCGTTTAGACTGGATTACGTGAGTTTTCATACAACTATCATCATCATCATCATCATCGTCATTGTCTATAACTGCCGACTGCTGATCAAAGGCTTCCTTATTCGCCTCCCCCAATCTCTATATCTCAGAAACCCTGATCCTCAAAAGGTTACGGGTGTCCATGGACGGCGCCGATTGCTTTACATCAGGTAATCCGTCTACTTGTGAGCCATTATATCACGATGAAAACGGCATTTTTTGACACAGAAAACGTATGATAATTAATTACTATGCTGACCTAAGTAGGATTGGCTACAGCCATTATAATAATAAAATATAAAATTACTAGTCCAGATTTCCTTACGATTATTTCCTTCACTGTCAATTAATCTTAGAATTTACATATGTATATACTGCGGAAAAACTCATTTAGTGCTTGCCAATTTTCACGCTTTTTACCTCAGGACGCCATAACGCTGTAGTTGTTTCACGCCGGTTCTGTGAGTTTGTGCTTTCTCTCCGGTTAAGCTGAGCAAACTTTGCACCTATATATTTTACTTTACAGTATATTTAACGTTTATTAGTATCTATAATGTTAAGTAAATAGAGCCATACTAGTTATTGAGATACGTTACATGAAAAATGGCGCCCGCAGTATATCCGGCTCTGTCGCTTTCAGGAAATTATGTTGACGTGAATCGGCAAGTTTTGTGGGTGAGGCGCACACTTGCGATTACACCGTTAGTCGATAGATTATTTAATTTTTATTTGTTGTATTATTGTGCCTTTACAAATAGCTGGTTTTTCGCAGAATTAAAATACAAAAATAATAGTTTTTTCTCACTTTGAGAACGATTTTTTAGAAGTCAAAGTTAGTCATAGTCAGTCTGTATTTTTAATTAGAAATAAAAAAAATTACAATAACATACAATAACATACAATCATGGAACATAAATAACTGTTTTGGATCCGGCAACGAAGTAAATCTATTTGTGTAGTAGAAAGTCGAAATTGTTTCCACTACCTTCCGTGACTTGAGCCAGAAAGAATTAAAAGAGACCACACTACTGATAGAAGCCCAGTCACCAAGCATCAAGGTACATAGAGCACAACAGGGCCCAACAGGCCCTCAGCCTGGATCAGGAGAAGGAACGGAGGTGATTTAGTAAGTAAGAGTCTGACACACACGGACGGCAGAAGTAATTTGATGACATGTCCCCCACTAAACAAAATGCCAGCCAATGACGTTTATGACGAGACGAGGTATAAAAACGAAAGAAAAAGCCAAAAGCCAAGCTCATTCAAAATATAAAAATAAAATTTAAAAAGAACCGTAAATTTGACGTATGTATAGGTAACCTCATATCTCGACAATCCGTAAATATGGTTGAGAGCTAACTATAGCCAGTTCTGTTTGCTAATTACTCAAACTTTGTTATTGTAGCCCAGAGCTTCATTTCAGCTTACAGTTTCACCGATATTGGCAAATAATCATTGTATTAACGGCATCTAAGTAAGTTCGGTTTCTGTTCCGACTAAATTGATTAGTTTATTTTGAGGCTATGATTTCAAAATGGCGGATTTTGTGTTCAGGAAAATATTAGGAACGAACTTAGTATCATTTTTATTAACCGGTTTGTTGGGCAAATGGTAGTAATTGAGCAAAACTATTTAAATTTTTGATTTTCAAGATTCCTAATCCTTGAGTCGTTTCCATCATCGTATCACCAACAAATTGAACAAAACACCACTTCAAAATAATAGATATCCCACCTGCATACACGAAGCGTTTTGCCTGAAGTTTCACCAGAACCGCTAAGGGCTGGAATTCTCAACAAAAGTTGGTACTCCTTAATAACTAGGGTATCTTCAAGACCTAAGTCAATAGGTCACTTGTGGACAAGCGTGTTTTATCGTAGCCTGCATCATCGCTTACCACCAGGCAAGATAGTGGTCTGCGCGAAAAAACTCACTTTCAGCAAGAGGCTCGTAGAATTGTGGCAAAGACTTGGTTCTTGCTGAACTGGTATATGATATACTGAACTGGTGCTGTTTTTGGAGTGGACTTTGAACATGCACCCGCATCAAATTATTCTTTTTTTTATGTCAGGGTGGGAAACGAATTTGACTGATAACCTGATAATAAGCAATCAAAGCCGCCTATGGACATCCGCAACACCAAAGGAGTTACGACTGCGTTGCCGGCCTGTGGGGGATTGAAGAAAGAAGGATTGAGCCTCTGGTAACCTCAATCATGCGCCGAAACTATGTTTGGTTCACGCCGGTTTCTGTAAGACCGTGGCATCACTCCGGTCGAGCTGACCCATTCGTGCCGAAGCATGGCTCTCCCATATTTATCTGTACTTGTTTCTTATTTTGTAGAAAAAGAATATTGTTTATTCTCTTTTTCTTTACGCGACATATTTTTTACGCGATTTTTAAGAAATTGTTTAAAAAACGCCTAGTTTCCAACAAACCCTAAAAACTCTCAAACATGACTATAAAAACACATACAAACATAAAACAGAGAAAATAACCTCATATTTTTTTTATTATTACATAAAGAGATGTCATTTTTGTATCCACCCATATAGAACTATAAAGTCGTCTATCAAATAATATGGTTCCATGCATCCAAATACTAAACGGTCACAAAATGACGACCATTCTAAAAGCAGAGGTTGTTAAGACGAAAGGCTCGAGAGACGTACGCATTATACCCCTAAGATCGAAGCTAGCGCCCCCTACCCTGCGGAAAATTGAATTTATACTTCATTCTCCATAAAATGCCTATGCCAAATTTATTTTAGAGCATTAGCATATTAAAACGACTCTTACCTTTGCAGGGTTGGTAAAAAAATTTGTGCCCTCATATTCAACCTTTTTTGGTGTTTATTTATTTAAGTTTTTTTTCAGTTTGGTTTCAAATTAAATGGTTGAGATCTTCTTAAAGAAAAAACAAGTTTGTTCTATTTATTTTTTATGTGATAGGACGGCAAACGAACTGACGTATTACCTGATAGTAAGCAATCAGCGCCACCTATGGAAACCTCACCCGCAACGATGGATGAATTACGAGTGTTGGAATTGAGGAAGGAAAGAGTAAGAATTTGGCCTACTGTAACCTCGACGAAACACAAACGCTGTGGTTGTTTCACACTATTTTTCTGTGAGGCAGTGGTATCACTCCGCTCGAACCGATCCATTCATCACATATGTTTTTTTTTATTAAAAATATCTGGTTTATTATTTTTATACCTACTTACCTCAAATAAATAAAATGCCTTTACTTTATTTATTATTTTTAACAAATATCTTTTTTTTTTTTTTGTTAACCATACGACCGTCGTACTTTATATAATAAGATCAGTATTCTTATACGAGGCATAAAAATCTAGATGTGTTCCGAAACATCACGCTTAGTACCACTTGAGGTAAACAGGAAGAGTAATGTCTATTACCAAACATTTTCGTAAGAAAATGTTTTTTGTTCATGGCAAATTGGCTTTAGAATGCTTTATAGCCACCAAATTTTTTACTTGTAATTACTTTATACATTTTGAGTTGAACTAATAATTGTAATAGTTGCTATAATAGTATCGTATGAATTATGTTCCAATTTTACATTTTATAGAAAAAAAAAAACATTATTTTTTGCTTATGACTGGCGACTTTACTTGTCAAAACAATTAGGAAAAAAAACAAGATTACAAAAATTAAAAACATACTTTCATTACATCGATGTAATGAAATAAATTATTGTGAACATAACAAGGTTGTAATCGATTTTATTAATAAGCGATATTAATTAATTAAAAATGTACTAATAATAACGGTCAAAAAGCTAAGTTTTCACAGTCGTATCTTGATTTCATGGTAGGTTATGGGACCATGCAATTATTATCATTGATTTTTTACGGTCCTCGCTGTGTTTTTATTATATTCTGTGCAAGGAGGTTGTAGTTTTAGTCGTTGGGAACTCGCAGCAATGAGGTTGATTATCCTCTTTTCTCTCTGCCTGGTCGTTGTGCTAGCTGCGCCAGCGGTGAGTAAAAACAATTCCCGCCAATTTTTACCAATGACATAAAGAGGTTATGTTATGCGTTAAAGAAAATTCAATTTTAATTCTGACGACACAATGTTGTTTCTTGCTTTTAGTTTTTCAGTAATACGTAATTTAGATTAGACCTTATGTTTTACTTATATTATAAATGCGAAAGTTACGATGTTCGGATGTTTGTTACTCAATCACGCCAAAACGGCTGGACGGATCTGGAATAAAAATTTGGCACAGGCATAGGATACACACCGGATTAGGACATAGGCTACTTTTCATCGAAATACCATACGGTTGAGGCTGCGGGCGGAAGTTATTTATTGTATATTAGGCCTTGTATTCACTTAGACTTTTTATTAATGGGCCTTCCAACTTCTTCGTCTATCTTCTACATATAATTAATATGGTATTACTTTGTCAACGCATAGTGAAAAAGGACGTAACAAAATCCTTTAAGTGTGGATAAGCCGTGCTTCGGCACGAATGGGCCTGTTTGAATGGAGTAATACAACGGTCACATTGCAGAACATCACAAAAACAACACTTATATTGTGTTTCGCCGTGTGAGTGAGGTTACAAAAAGCCCCCACCTTCCCAGCCATCCACAATCTCCAAAACCCCTATCATTTTAATATTTTACAACCCAAAAAATGCCAGCAACACACTAGTAGTGGTGTTAAGAGCGTCCATAGGTGCTTCTTTACTAATGGTGCGTCGCCGGTTGGGGGATGTAAAGATGCCTATTTGTAATTTACTGTTCTTTCTATTACAGCCTAGTTTATCTAGAGACCAGGTAGGTTTTAATGCTATTTTTAATACACCTTATAAAAAAATGTTTTCATAGGCAATATGATGTACATATATATACAAGTCTTTGAGATTCAGAAAAATGTTTGCTAACTTCGTACTTAAGAATGCATCAAAAAACTGAATTCGTGTTGTTTACCTTATGCATTATTTTCATGACCAGGTCGAGGAGCGAAGCGATAATGACGTAAGTAATCTTTTTTTATTTAACTAAATAACAAGTAATTTTCTCTACAAATAAAACACGAATCCCAATTTTCTGCAAACTTAAGTACTGTAACTTAACGTAAATAGTAGAGATCGGTTCACCCTGTAGCCATGCCTAATCTTGAGGGGTGGCAAGAGAGCCGCCATGACTTTCTCGCTTCCTATCAGGCAAGAGGCGAGGCGTAATGCGTAATAGCATAATGGCGGCTCTTATACCGCAGGTGCTTACCGGGCACGGAAGCTTCTTCAGGTAACTGTTTCGGATCCGACGGGAGAAAACTTCAAGGTATCGTCATTGTGGGAACCATCCGGATAACACGAAAGAGCATACGGGGGCGGTGTGTGCGCCTTCGTTTCCCGATCTGTCTTAAAGTGCCAACAAACCAATGTTTCGGGTCAAGCGCAATAAGGTTCCGCAAGTCGGACTGGAGCCAAAGAAGGAACAGGGTGATTTTAGTCAGTAAGAGTCTGACACTCCCTCCAAGACATGAGTTTTGTTTGATGTTGCACCCTCAAAAAAATATTTATTTAATGTTGCTAAAAACTAGATTAGCGACAATTTTATAAAAAATACTTCATCAGAAACATTGAATCTAAAAATAAGTATCGCGCTAATGAAAAACTGTGTTGTACAGAGCGAACGAGATCGAGATGATGATGATGACGATGACAACGATGAAGATGATGAGGTATACAAATATATTTTCAAGAATTAATTTCTTATACAATATATGTATATCAAACTAAATTTTTGACCTTCACCGTTGGACGTGTTAAAAACCCATCTCCGAAATACACTAATCTGATGAGACCAATTCATTTGAGGAAAAACACTAAAGCATATTTGTTAATAAAGTAATATCAGTAAATTGTAAAATAATGGCACTGAGTGACATATCTTTGTTATCTACCTAATAAAATGTAAGAAAGCTCGGTATCATTTTTTTTTGTTTATGTGATAGGTCGGCAAACGAGCAGACGGATTACCTGATGGTAAGCAATCAGCGCCGCCCATGGACACCCGCAACAGAGGAGTTACGAGTGCGTTGCCGACCCTTTAGGGATTAGGGATTTGGAGATTTAGGGATTGGGGGAGGGGAAGGATTGGGCCTCCGGTAACCTCACTCACACGGCGAAACACAACGCTGTGGTTGTTTCACGCCGCCGTTTTTTCTGTGAGGCCGTGGTATCTCTCCGGTCGAGCTGATCGATTCGTGCCGAAGCATGGCTCTCCCACACTTATACACGAATCTGTCACACAGTATACATACGTATAACACAGTTAAGATGCAGTACAGTTTGACGCCAACATTAAATTTGAATCAGAGTTTAAATTCAGTCGACTGTTATGTGTGGGTCTCTGGACCTGTTTATGGGTCTTACTGATAGAACTCGCTATAAATAGAAGAAGAGTACTTGAGTGATACAGAATTTTGCTCTTAAGCTACCTCCCCGCGATGTGCCCGGCAAAAAACCAAGCATATGCCGCAAAGGAACTAAGGTAATGGTAGTATTTTGACGTATTAAATTTAAAGAATGCCTCCACTTTCTTCAAAATAAGGTTTATCAGTGTTTTTACATTATTTAGGTGATTTAACAGTTAACTTTAATTTGAATTTAACTCTCGTGACAAACTCAGTGAATTGGCTTATGAAAGGGTAGTCAAATTATTTTGTTTCTAAATCATGTAAGATGAACGGTGAAATGTTATACAACATCTAATTAACACCTCGATTTTAAACCCGCAGAGACTTGACAACGAAGCAGATACAAGAGAACATCTCAACCGAAGGGAACGTAGTCAATCATCCGATCGTAACGTTTACGACAAGTATAATAACGCACTAAAATATGAATATGACGACCAAATAAATGAGTACGACAAGGCTGAATACGACAAACAATATGATAATAGGCGAGACAAAAACAGTCAAGACAATGATTTGCAAGATGAAAACAGACGAGATAACGACAAACAAGTTAAAGAGAGACAATATGAAAACAAAAGAAACAACAACGAGCAAGATGAAGACGCACGAGAAAACGGCATACAAGAAGGCAATAGGCGTGATGATGACAGAGAAGAAGATGCAAGGCGAGACAAAGACAACCAAGAAACCCAGAAAGATTACGGCGAAGGAGCTATCGATCCAAGAGACGGAGAAGACAATTCACTTAGAGACAACAAAGAAAACACAAATGGTGGGACAACCGAAGAAAGACGCGATAACAATAGCAATCACAGTAACAGGAGATACAAAAGAAATAAAAAACTAAATTACAAAGTAAAAGAACGTTATGAACACGAACAAGATAACGATAGTAGTGAAGTAAGTGTAACTTAAAATGTTTTAGTGAATTCTCTAGTACAAAAGTATTTAATTATGTAAAATTTGTCATATAAATTTATATTATGGTTAAAGCTCTTATTCGTAATAAGTTTTGACAAGAGCAAACACTAACTGGCTACAGCAACACACACTAGGGACACTAATCCATCGTCATATGCGTTCTTCGTCCCTGGACATATTCATGGAGACCGTAAAAGGACGTTATGCACTCTTTACCTGCGCCAAGTGCGCGTTCTGACCATCAAACGGCATATGGCATCAAACGTCGTTTCCCAGTGCGAGCACCCCCGGGCTGTGCTCGTCGTCAAAATATCACGCCAAGACGGCGCCCGACGGGAGCTCGCCTCTCAAAACCCAATGATAAACCCAACCCTCTCAGGATACCTCGAAGTGTAGCCTACGCTCCACGTAAGCGCGGGTCTGCGGACGGCGAGTAATTGTAGCCTGCGGCCCGACCAGAACCAGACCCGAGTGTACGGCGCGTAGCGTTCTGCGCGTGCCTCGAAGAGCCAATAGACCACCTCAGACAGGGCCCTATAGGGCTGATGTTCAGCCGGGGTCGCATCTACCCTCCGAATAAGCCGCTACCGTAAGGGAGCGAGAGGCACCGTACCGGAGGGGATATGGATGCACGCAATGGTATTTCAGACCCAGAATACAACTCCAGAGAAGGGTGTATTGAATGCGTTATGGATGTCCAAAGACTAATGGTGACACCACCACACCCCGGGACCTGACTTCACCGCAAGGGCATTCAACCGCATCATGGAGTCTACGCTGAAGCGCCTCCAATGAAACCAAATTGATTGCCGTCCAAGTCTGGGTCAGAGGTCCTTTACAATCGGCTGATCGAGGCAATTTGCGATAATGCGGTCAAAAATGCCTGCCTCGTGTCATTATTAACTGTTACCTTATTTCACTTTTACTCTCAGTGCGTTAATAATCAAAATGTTTCCACTTTTAACTTAATCCGTGCTAAATTGAATATTTCCAGGATGACTGGCTTGAAAGAAGTAACAAAGATGTAAGTATCAAGGAGATTTCATTATTTTACAACAATATATATTTTACTTTATTTTTCCGTCATGGCGGTCAGATGGGCCAAACAGCATTTCTCACTAGTATGTCATTACACCTTCGTGGGCCAATGTCGCTCGACGTTTATTACATGTAAATGTTCTAAACATTCTAAATATTTAATGTACAAGGGGTTTCCATATTAATCCAATGTATTCAAGTTAAGACCTAATAAATGACTTATTAAGGTATGTTTGTGTAGGAATCGGGACGTCTAAAGTGGTGTTGAGAGTGTCTATGGGCGACGCAGATTACGTACAGCAAGATGATCCGTCTGCTCGTTTGCTGCCCACCACAAAAGAATCGGGCATAGCAACAACGAAATTAAGCTAAACCTGTTGGACATGATAGATTGATCGTAATTGAGCAAGTCCTTAAAAAAATGTAGATGCACACCGTTAAAAGAACGTTTTCGTTTTCAGAATGACGCGTTTAGCCGGATAACGCAGCAAGTGATCGCTCTGGCCGCAGTAAGTAATCAAATTGAAATAAATTATTTGATTCAGAATATTATTTATCTTTTAATTTTCTTTATCATAGTGTATTTCTGTGGTTAAGTCCGGCTATGGCACTTATAGTCCAGAGCCTTTTCTCAATCTTTCTATAGTACCAGATAAATTTGAATAAAGAACACAATTTGCATGAGCTGTCTGCCTCATAAGTTTATCGGAAACTTATATAGAGGAAAAAGCCTGCGCTTAATTAAAAAAAAATTGTTATTATAAATAATTTCTCTACGATCTTTAATTTAACCTTTTTCTTTTTGTGCGTAGCTTAAAACTGTTTTCTTTGTTTATCTAAAATATGTTCAAAAAATGAGTTAATGATTATTATTTTTGTTTAATATAGAAACATAGAGGAGGGGTAAGTATTCCAGTTTTGTTTTTATGTTTTTGGGTTCAAATGGTTTTTTTTTAAAATAATCAATTTAACATCTTAAAAAAAACTTTACTTTTGCAGAGTTTAAGAGTATCTTATGTAAGTTTTTTTTTACATTCATAACTTTTAATTATTAATTAAGTACTTTTAATTAGTAGTGATTTTGCCTATAATTTAAAACGCAAATGTATTTATCGTGTTTTGTTTTATAGAAACCAGCTTACCATCCAAATGTAAGTATAATTCAGAATATTCTTGGATTTTAATAAAATTTCGTATGTATATGTATACATAATAATATTTAAATGTCAAATGTTCGACTTTCAGAGAATAAAAAATGGAGCTTACGGCTTGGGCGTAAGTTTTTATTACTAATAACTCATTTTGCTTAGCCAACACTACGATATATACATATATTATGGTTTTTGTAGTATTTTATTGTTAAATAATTACATTTTTATTTCAGAATATTATTCTCCGTTACGTAAGTTAACAACAATCCGTAATTATAACAACTCAATACGCCAGAAAAGAAATTGTGCGCACGTCGCGCGGAGCGTCGTGCGTTAGTTGTACATTGCTGCGGCAGACCGCGGCATAGCCGGGCGCAAACACGAACATATGAACATTATCAGCAATGTATGAGGACACTACAATCCGTCATTCAACAGGAAAGAAAAGGACGACAAATGACCGCCATTTTTTACCTATTACTATTGTACCGACTTATAAAATGATATCTATCTGCTTGCTTTTTGCACCAATCATTGGTTCCTTCCCGCATCACCCATGGTTCAACTGGCAGAACATGCCTAAAGCATTAAGTCCAGCTATGCACACCTTCGCATAAATAAATAAGAAAATGTTTACTAACATTCACCATATTTTATTTTTATTTAGGTTGTATCTTCGTCCACTCACAAAACGAATGAAAAGGTAACTTTGAATTTTACTTTTGATTAGCTAGCTAGCCCTTGCCAGCGGCTTCACCCGTGTTGCCTGGCAGAATAATGTACTTGTGTTGTTCCAGACTATAATCTACATATCTATTATATGGATGATTTTTTATTACACATAAAAAATATATTTATATGGATGATTTTTTATTACACATAAAAAATCATCCATATAAGCTTTCGCTATTGTAGATAATAAGCCTGACATAGTGGTGGTAGACCGACTAGCGCGTCGCACGACGATAATCGATGTTGCCATTCCTCATGACGAGAACCTCGTGAAAGCTGAGAAAGATAAACAATTGAAATATCTTGACTTAGCTCACGAGGTTGTTGACATGTGGAGTGTGGACTCGGCTATTCGTTGTGCCGATAGTTGTGTCGGCAAATGGAGTTTGGAGACTAACGTCTCCAAAAGCCTCAACAACCACCTTAAGAGGCTGAAGTTAGGCGGATGGATCAAGGGCCTCATACAGGCAGTCCTCCTTGAAACGGCACGTATTGTGAGGAGATTTCTGTCTCTGGAGCCCTAACCGCCAGTGGCTTGGACCTTGCTCCCGCTACCGGCTGGCTCCTATTTTTATATTTTTAAATATTATTTTATTGTTTTTTTTTTAGTAATATTTAAAAATGTAATTGTAGGGTATTAAAATAAATATATATGTATCATACAGCATTTAATAGTCTCAAAGTATTCAATATTATTCTATATATAAAGTATTCGTGCACGGTTCCGAGCTCATTTTGTTACGTGATATTACGGCAAATGAGCGGACGGATTACCTGATGGTAAGCAACGCACTCGTAACTCCTCCGATGCGCGTCTCCATGGGCGGCGCTGATTGCTTACGATCAGGTAATCCGTATGCTCGTTTGCCGACCTATTACATAAAAAAAAATACAACCAAAGGGGTTACAATTGCGTTGCCGGATTTGGCTTCCCAAGATTTAAGAATAGATTGGTGTTGAGCCAAGAGAATGGATTGGGCCCTCCAATAACCTCGCTCACAAGACGAAACACAACGTTGTGGTTTCACGTCGTTTCTGAGAGGCCGTGGTATCACTCTTGTCCCACCACGCTTGCCGACCCATTCGTGCCGAAGCATGGCTCTGACTGTTTCTTCTCCTTACTTCTGGCTTTTGTTTTATTTAATTAAGTCCCGGCGCTAAGTTAACATCGAATTTGCCTGTATTTTAAATGAAACAACTGCCATATATTCCCTTTTAAGAGTGTAAAAGACCCTGTAAGTACTTTTATTTTAATAATGATTGATAATAAAGGTACAGATTCTGTAGAAGATTTCTTCTACAAAATTGTAAAATGTTATTTTGGTCCGAAAATTAAGTAACTATGCAACAAAATAATTTATCATTTTTTCTATTTCGCAGCCTTGGAAACCGTAAGTTACAAGTCATAATTATAACTATAAAATACTTTTACAAGTCGTTTTAGGCTTTTCTAATTTACAATATTCACTAGGTTACTACTAACAAACTATCGTATAAGTTTAATGGTAGTATATATATATAAAAGCAGTTTTTCACATATCAAACAATCTGACTGTATTGTCATAACAAAACACGAGCAACTCTAAGAGTATCTCTTGTTTCGATTTTAGTTAAATTGATTGTGTTGGGAAATCCGATTCATTCAAGTAGCTTGTGTCCATTAAAAATCGTAGTAAAATGCAAATTATCTGCTACGAAAGCGTAGTAATGTAGCTACGTCGTAGTAAATCAACGTAGTAACGTTTAAACAACGCTTGAATGTATGCAGAATTTTTAAAACTCTAATTTTATTATTTATCCCTGTAGTGGCAAGAAAGCCCAGAAAGGTGAAAATTGTGTCTGACGTCTAGATCTACTTCCTAGTTGTATTTACATCATTATGGCCTAATAATTAACAAAAGATTACGTCAGATCCCCGAGCGAAAGGCGCGTAGCGTTCCGCTTGCGCCTCAAAGAGCCAATAGACCACCACAGACGGGGCCCTATAGGGCTGATGTTCAGCTGGGGTTGTAGGGTAAGCGCAATGAGGCACCGCGACCTCAGCCCAGAGCAGGAGAAGGAACGGTGGGGTTTTTAGTCAGTAAGAGTCTGACACTCTCTCTCGCCTTACCCTGGCCGGGAGAAGTCATTAGATGATTTTCCCTTAAGAAAAAAAAGATGATGTCAAATTATTTAATGTCTTAGCATAGCTATAACAATAGCTGTCTAGTTAATCCCCTATGGCTAATTCATAGTACAAAATGAAGAATCAGTGGCGCTCTGATCGTCCTCGATGTCGATGACTTTGAGATGAGCTGCTATGATTAATCTTGGATGGTGTAAACCTTAATAGGATATTTTAGAGTATTTCTCAGTTTGGCTATCTGACAACCATTTATAATATAACTTTATTTATGTCGTTGCAGGGTAAACTTCGAAAAACCTAACAGTGGAAGAACTACGACTTCGTTCCCGTTCTCAAGGAGGTAAGGATTTTGAGGATCAGGGATTCGGGAACTGGGCAATTGGGGATAGGAGAGAGTAGTTCCTGTTTTAACACACCAGTCGAGCTGACTTTCAATTAGAGGAGCGTGGCTCTCCCACAAAATAAAGAAAACCATCACATCATCAGCCTATATGTGCCAACAGCTGAGCAAAGGCCTCTTGTCACAAGGAGAATGTTTGAGCATTAATCACCACGCTTGCTCAAGGTGGATTGGCGATTTCGTAACTTATAAGATTAAAAAGTCCAAGTTTCCTCACGATGTTTTCCTTCATCGTTTCTTAATGCTGTCTAAATAATCATAGAAAGCACATTAAAACTCGGCAAAAGTCACATTGGTACTTGTCAGGTTTTGAACCCGCACCTTATGTATAAGGCGCCTTAACCTCGGCACCGCACGTCATTAAAATAAAGAAAATATTTTATCAAAACTTTGTATTGATTTGATAAACGATGACGCTCTAGTAGAACAATGAAAAATTTACATCAATGGCACTTTTACCTAATTGCTCCAATTAAACTCTTTGCTAACCTTCCGTGAAGACTAAACTACCAACAAACACAGTTTCCACTGAATTGTTTCAAAATAAATATATTTATCTCGCTCTTAGTAGTTAGTAATTTAATGTTTCGACGTCAAAACTTTATTTGTGTACATTAAAATCACATCGTGAGGAAATTAAAATTTCTAAACAGAATCCCGAATTTTACGAATTGTAGAAAAAAGTACTTGGTCCTTAAGTTGGAGGTTTGGAACTGGGGAAACGAAGATTAGTATTGAAATGTGACCACGGAATGGCTAGGGAACATTCCATAAAAGTAAACATAAACTATGTTGTCACAAAATTATTATACAAGCTTAAAGAACCTGAAATGAACTCAGAACAAAATCTGATATTAATTTTTTTTTCAGCTCAAGATTGTGAGTTGCTTTATTTATTTTTTTCTTATTTAAAAAACGTTGTCCCACACTAGAATTTTCTCCTGTGTCGCGGGTGCGGTTTAATAATTTTCTTTATATCATACTTACAGCACAGTGCCGTGATTTACAATTAATTACAATAATATATTTTATAAGAGTTATAATTTTATGTTATAATTATCTAGAAGAAATCTGCTAGTATGACAGAAACTTAAAAAAATTGTATACGTTTGTTTTACATTTACAATTAATTATTACGTTTTTTTTTTTTAATTTTAATATCGATTACTACTTATACTAATTTATTCAAGTAGAGTTGTATAACTAAGCACTGTTTTTTTTTTGTTTCATGTTGATGATCTGCAGTGAATCGGTGTAAGTTATAATTATTCATTATAATTTATTTATATTAACGGCCTAATTATACTGATAAACCTATCAAAAATACATAGTTCATTTGTCAAAGAATACTAGAGTCCATCGTGGTAGGCTCGTGCGCCCTTCAAAGAGGTAATACACCACCACTGACGGAGTTGCGGGGTAAGCGCAATGAGGCACCGCGGCTTCGGTATAAAACAGGAGATGGAATGAGGCAGTTTTTAGCCAAGAGTCTGACACTCCTTCTCGCCTCACCCGGGGACAGGAGAAGTCATTCGATGATTTTCCACTGACAAAAAAAGCCGTAACTTACAAGTCATAATTATAATTTTATTATTAAACACTTTTACTGGTCGTTTTAAACTTTTTTCATTTACGATCTTCACAAGATTACCACTAACAAACTGTCGTAACAGCTCAGTGAGTGTGTACAAAACAGTATTTTATATTTAAGTACATAACAATAAAATATATCAGAATAATCATAAAAATATCTGCCTCCTAGATACATACAACTCTTATTTATTATGTTTTCGGCTTACTCACGTAATAATTTGACGAGATACTCGACTAGCCTCATGCATGAGAAGCGGGCTCCTTGACCTCCTGGCCACCACGACGTGATGATTTACAATACATTTATATGACATCCCAAACTCAATTATCACGCTTCTTATTCAAGCGCGTCACTTCCTTGCTTTCATTCAAGCCACCAACAGATGTTGTAAAGTTGTTTTTTCAACACAAATGTATTTTTGTTTATGAAATAAATAATAAATAAATAAATATTTGTCTGTATCTGCTCTAAATAATGCACAATAAACACTTTTTTTTATTTAATTGGTCGGCAAACGGCCAAACGGATTACCTGATAGTAAGCAATCAGCGCCGCCCATGGACACCCGCCACGGAGAAGTTACGAGTGCGTTGCCGACCTTTTAGGGATTAGGGATTTTGAGATTTAGGGATTGAGGAGGGATTGGGGGCGGGGAAGGATTGGGCCTCCAGTAACCTCACTCACACGGTGAAACACAACTCTTTGGTTATTTCACGCTGGTTTTCTGTGAGGCCGTGGTATCAGTCCGGTCGAGCCGAACCATTCGTGCCGAAGCATGGCTCTCCCACACTTAATGTATTCAAATTTTAAATAGCCCCTTTTATATACAGTAGTGTTGTGTTCCGAAAAATACGGACACACACACGGGTATGTTTCTTTATTTCATATATCTATTTATTCGTCATTTCCAGCGTCGGTCCCACCGTAAGTAACAATTATATAAGTTATATTTTTATACTCTGATTAGATCATTATTCCTCCTCAATCTAAAAAATATCCTTATACATATGTATCTACGAACAATAGTGCATACAGGGGAAATTGCCGGCTCAAATCAAATCAAAATCATTTATTCCAACTAAACCATAAATAGGTACTTTTGAAACGTCAAAATAGAATAGTAGTCTGTCAATCTGTTCGTCAGTGAAGCTAGGTGCTCGTTCCAAATTGTAGTTTCGAATGGAGAAGAATGATAAAGAAATCCAATTGTTACTCTTTTTAAAAATTATTATTTGTTATACAATTCACTAATAATGCAGAGACAAGTTGTTAATAAAAAGGAACAAATGACGGTATCTATGTTTTTTATGTTTATGAAATCAATAAATAAGCGTCGTATCGATGAGGCCAGGCTACTCATCGGCAAACTAACCTGCTTCAGGGAGGGGAATAACCGCCCTAGAGTGATGCGCTTTGTAAGGCGTGCATTTGTGGGGACTGAAACTAGTCCTCATGAATACCTTACACGTGTTACAGAGCGCATCGACTTCCTGAAGCAGAAAATCTATGCATGGGCAAACCGTATTAGAAGATATAAAAAAAGGGTAGAGCGCTATACTCAGAATCGTATGTTCCAAAGTGATCAGAGGTGGGTGTACAGAGACTGGGAACGGTCCAGTCAAGATGTGGTTAACGGTCGGCATCCGGACGATGAAACCACTAACTCATTTTGGCGCAACATCTGGTCGGTGCCTGTTAACCACACGGAGGCTGACTGGATGTGCGATGTTAAGTGGGAGTGTGAAACTTTACCAGAGATGGAGGAGGTAGTCATTACCTCCTCTAATGTAGCCAATGCAGCCTGTTCGGTCCCCAATTGGAAATCACCGGGGCCGGACGGACTGCACAACTTTTGGCTGAAATCATTTACCAGTTCACACGATCGCTTAGCGTCGCAGTTCCAGATGGCCTTAGAAGCTGGATCGTTGCCTCAGTTTCTGACTACAGGAATTACCCACCTGCTCCATAAATCGGGTAGTTACACTGAACCCAAAAATTATAGACCGATTACGCGTTTACCAACGGTCTATAAACTTTTTACATCCATTTTGAGAGCAAAAATTACAAAACATATAGAAAAAATTTCCATCATGTCGGTCTCTCAGAATGGATGTAGAAAGGGGTCACGTGGAACTAAGGAGCTACTCCTCATCGATATGGTCATTAGCCAGCAGGTTCGTCGATCTCGAAAGGATTTGTCTACATGCTGGATAGATTATAAAAAGGCTTATGACTCCGTACCACATACATGGCTTATGAGGGTGCTGGAGTTGTATAAAATTAATACAACTCTGCGCACCTTCTTACAGTCATGTATGAGGCAGTGGAGCACGGTGCTTTCCTACCCAGGATGTAAGCAAATCCAAAGGAGTGAAGAACCTGTAAGGATAGTGCGAGGAATATTCCAGGGTGATAGTCTGAGCCCACTGTGGTTCTGCTTGGCCTTGAATCCTCTCAGTACTTTACTTGAGGCTTCAGGGCTGGGCTATCGTTTGCGGAGAAAAGGTCACGTTATTTCCCACTTACTTTACATGGATGACCTCAAGTTGTTTGCACCAAACAAGGAGGAGCTGATGGAACTACTAAAAATAACTAAAAATTTTAGTAGTTCCATCAGAATGGAGTTTGGTGTTGATAAGTGTGCGGTCATGCATGTAAAGCGAGGCGGGATAGTGGAATCTGAAAGTATAGAGCTGTCAGATTTCACAAAACTGAGATCGCTCTCCGCAAATGATACCTACAAGTATTTGGGTATGTCGGAAGGATTGGGTATTAATGGGCCGCACATGAAACAATCTTTACAGGAGCGCTTCTTTGGCCGCCTGAATAAGGTACTGAAAAGTTCGTTATCAGGCGGCAACAAGGTACGCGCCTTTAACGGTTGGGTCATGCCGGTCCTGATGTATTCTTTTGGCATACTCAAATGGACTCAGACTGAACTTGACACCCTGGATAGGCGAGTCCGGATGCTGCTGACTGCAAATCGAATGCATCATCCTCGTTCATCAGTCATGAGGTTGTACATCCCGCGGAAGTGTGAGGGTCGAGGCTTTCTAAACGCCCTTCACAACCGTGAGGTGTGCAATCTCAGGGAACATTTCTTGAAAGTGGACGAGGATATGCATCGAGAAGTAGTCACAGTGGACAAGGGATTCACATCACTATCCTTGGCTAAAGAGAACTGGTGCAAACCCGTAGTACTGAGCGTCAATGACCGCAAGGCGATATGGAGTAGCAAGGAGCTTCACGGACGCTTCTTTCGGGCTCTCCACGGGCCCGATATAGATTTTCTAGCGTCCGTAGCTTGGCTACGATTCAGTAACCTCTTCGGAGAAACTGAAGGATTTGTATGTGCAATTATGGACGAAGTTATCCTCACGAATAACTACCGTAAATATATTATGAAGGATGGGACGGTTGACATATGTCGGGCATGTCATAGCTCCGGTGAATCCATCAGACATATTATTTCCGGCTGTGGTCGTTTGGCTAATGGCGAATACTTGCACAGACATAATCAGGTGGCCAAGATTATTCATCAACAACTTGCTTTGAAATACCAGCTTGTTGAGTCTGAGGTTCCGTACTACAAGTATGTGCCCGACCCAGTTCTCGAAAAAGACCATATCACTTTGTACTGGGATCGGTCTATCATCACAGACAGGACTATTGTAGCCAATAAGCCTGACATAGTGGTGGTAGACCGACTAGCGCGTCGCACGACGATAATCGATGTTGCCATTCCTCATGACGAGAACCTCGTGAAAGCTGAGAAAGATAAACAATTGAAATATCTTGACTTAGCTCACGAGGTTGTTGACATGTGGAATGTGGACTCGGCTATTCGTTGTGCCGATAGTTGTGTCGGCAAACGGGTTAGTCCCCAAAAGCCTCGACAACCACCTTAAGAGGCTGACGTTAGGCGGATGGATCAAGGGCCTCATACAGAAGGCAGTCCTCCTTGAAACGGCACGTATTGTGAGGAGGTTCTTGTCTCTGGAGCCCTAACCGCCGGCAGCTTGGACCTTGCTCCCGCTGCCAGCTGGCTCCTTTTATATTTTTAAATATTATTTTATTTTATAGTAATATTTAAAAATGTAATTTTAGAGCGATTTTAATAAATATATGTAAATAAATAAATAAATATTTGTCTGTATCTGCTCTAAATAATGCACAATAAACACTTTTTTTTTTATTCAATTGGTCGGCAAACGGCCAAACGGATTACCTGATGGGAAGCAATCAGCGCCGCCCATGGACACCCGCAACGGAGAAGTTACGAGTGCGTTGCCGACCTTTTAGGGATTAGGGATTTTGAGATTTAGGGATTGAGGAGGGATTGGAGGCGGGGAAGGATTGGGCCTCCAGTAATCTCACTCACACGGTGAAACACAACTCTTTGGTTTTTCACGCTGGTTTTCTGTGAGGCCGTGGTATCAGTCCTTTCGAGCCGAACCATTCGCGCCGAAGCATGGCTCTCCCACACTTAATGTATTCAAATTTTAAATAGCCCCTTTTATATACAGTAGTGTTGTGTTCCGAAAAATACGGACACACACACGGGTAAGGTTCTTTATTTCATATATCTATTTATTCGTCATTTCCAACGTAGGTCCCACCGTAAGTAACAATTATATAAGTTATATTTTTATACTCTGATTAGACCGTTATTCCTCCTCAATCTAAAAAATATCCTTATACATATGTATCTACGAACAATAGTGCATAAAGGGGAAATTGCCGGCTGAAATCAAATCAAAATCATTTATTCCAACTTAACCATAAATAGGTACTTTTGAAACGTCAAAATAGAATAGTAGTCTGTCAATCTGTTCGTCAGTGAAGCTAGGTGCTCGTTCCAAATTGTAGTTTCGAATGGAGAAAAATGATAAAGAAATTCATCCGTTACGCTTTTTAAAAAATATTATTTGTTTTACAATTCACTAATAATGCAGAGACAAGTTGTTAATAAAAAGGAACAAATGACGGTATCTATGTATTTTTGTTTATGAAATAAATAAATAAGCGTCGTATCGATGAGGCCAGGCTACTCATCGGCAAACTAACCTGCTTCAGGGAGGGGAATAACCGCCCTAGAGTGATGCGCTTTGTAAGGCGTGCATTTGTGGGGACTGAAACTAGTCCTCATGAATACCTTACACGTGTTACAGAGCGCATCGACTTCCTGAAGCAGAAAATCCATGCATGGGCAAACCGTATTAGAAGATATAAAAAAAGGGTAGAGCGCTATACTCAGAATCGTATCTTCCAAAGCGATCAGAGGTGTACAGAGACTGGGAACGGTCCAGCCAAGATGTGGTTAACGGTCGGCATCCGGACGATGAAACCACTAACTCATTTTGGCGCAACATCTGGTCAGTGCCTGTTAACCACACGGAGGCTGACTGGATGTGCGATGTTAAGCGGGAGTGTGAAACTTTACCAGAGATGGAGGAGGTAGTCATTACCTCCTCTAATGTAGCCAATGCAGCCTGTTCGGTCCCCAATTGGAAATCACCGGGGCCGGACGGACTGCACAACTTTTGGCTGAAATTATTTACCAGTTCACACGATCGCTTAGCGTCGCAGTTCCAGATGGCCTTAGAAGCTGGATCGTTGCCTCAGTTTCTGACTACAGGAATTACCCACCTGCTCCATAAATCGGGTAGTTACACTGAACCCAAAAATTATAGACCGATTACGCGTTTACCAACGGTCTATAAACTTTTTACATCCATTTTGAGAGCAAAAATTACAAAACATATAGAAAAAAAATCCATCATGTCGGTCTCTCAGAATGGATGTAGAAAGGGGTCACGTGGAACTAAGGAGCTACTCCTCATCGATATGGTCATTAGCCAGCAGGTTCGTCGATCTCGAAAGGATTTGTCTACATGCTGGATAGATTATAAAAAGGCTTATGACTCC